AAATTTACAAATATGATCAAATCATAAATTTTTAACTAAAAAAAATAAATTAAAAGTATAAATGATTCCGCGCAATTGCGCGGGTCAGAATCTAGTTTAGAGTAAAAATCACTCTATCTCTATTTTATATTTTCTTCTAAAATAGAGATTGCTATTTTCACCTCTATATTTAGAGGAAGAAATAGCATTACTCTATAATAGAGACATATTTTATTTCATTTACAAAATGATCCTTTAATTTTTTACTTTAACAATTATAATAAAAATAAATATTTTTTAGTGAAAAGTACTGTTTATATAAATATAATCATACTTTTTATTTACATAATAGTTTGTAAAAACAACTTTACTGTAAATAATATCATAATTTTATAAAATGTTAAATTAAATTAGGTTGATCTTCAACTTTCATAAATGAAATGTATTATTTATAAAATTAAAAGAATATATTAAAAATAATTTTTTAGAGGAAAAAATAAAGATGAATACATTGGAAATAAATCCATTTAGATTATAGAGTTTTCTTACTTTAGGGGGAAAAATTAGGAAATACATTGGAGATGGTCTTATTGAATTTGTCCTATTGAGTGTAGATATAGATCGGTTGTATAAATTGTTATATTAGTATACATGTAATAAATTATTTTCTTGCAGATATATAAATATGGTTTACTCACGAATGACACACGATATGGTTGTACTGTCTTTTTTTATTAGGAAAAAAAATAAATGTCAAAATTAGTCATCATTTTATATGATTTGACGCAAAATTTGTCAAATAATATTTATATCCATTTACGGAAGCCATTTCGCCTATCACCCAAATAATTGTACGCAACCACTTCAATAGTTTACTGTCTTTTATAAAAAAAGAGTTTACAAAATCTATTTTTTAAAACGGCTTTCGGTTTACAAAAACAATGCATGTATAAGATGAAATAATGAATACTATATATTTTGATACTGTATTATGATTGGTATGATAATGCTTGAATAATTTACAACAAAAATGATTTACTACTGAACATATCTTGAAATGTAATAAAAGATGGCGAGAGCTAACAACTATGAGAAACTATACGTGGACGTGTGTAAAATAAACAAGCATGCTTCAGCGTTTTTTTGCGGACATGGCTCCAATCGAAAAGCACGTCTCTTTGAGAAAAAAAGTCATCAACTGTAAAATAAGTTTATGCAAGTTAAAATAAATTAAATGCTTAAAAGCCTTAAAATTCTACTAGCAGTCCATGAAATCCTTTATCTTTCGTCTTTCACCAAGTAAAGGCTAATCTTTAAAAAGGAAATATTTAGCATTACTATCAGTTACTAAGTAATAATAACTATACCTCTTCGGTTGTTAAAAAAAAGCTATACATCTTCGGTACTACTTGACAACAATGCAGCACACACACACACACACAAAAATTTGCTTTGAAAGCTATTTTGGGTAAATATATATTTTCTTCGCTGCACAAAAGTGTTGCTTTATAGTATATTTTTTTTCCAAAGGGATTATATTTAAATGCGGCTTTTAAAGCTAATTTTCACCTTAATCTTTTTGTGTTTTTGTCATTTTAAATTAATTATGGATGTATTAAACAGAGTCATATATTAATATTAACTTCAAAGTATCTTACTAATCTACATGAAATGTGGCTACACACCATTTTTTGATAAAATGAAGAAATAGAAGATTAACAATATACTATATTAAATAATGTCAAAACAATGTAACCATTAAAAGTCAAACCTTTGTATATCGGAGCTTAAAAGGTCAACCGTAATCGATCTTGGGTAACAGCGTCATCAATGATGTATAAATGTATCCAACGACATGTTCAGGTGTTTGAGGACAACTGACATGCAAGAGATCAACTGAAAGACAGCCTGACACTTTTAAGAATGATCAGGTTACAAAAAAAATGACAGGCTTATAGAGACAAATTCAAAACCATGACATGTAACAAGTAACTAGGGCTGGGCATTTTATCCGTTATATTTGATTCGATCCGTTATTCGTTTCGATTCGATCCGAAAATTCCGGATATCCGTAAACTTTCGAATCAAAGCAAATATTAAAATTCAATATCCGTTAAAATCGAAGCAAATCACAAATATTAAAATTTTAGAAAGCGGATATCCGATCCGATCCGTAAATATATAAATATATG